AGGTGTCACCTTTTATAAATGTCTGTGACAGGCGTGATAAGATGGATCTCTGGAGAGATATTACTTTGCATGTCACGACTACACCGTTTGGTGACTTACTGGGAAGCTGTCGCTCTTTCGAGTTTCGGCATACACCGACCCAAAACCACCCTGTCCGAGCAGCACCCCCTGGTGGTACAGGTCTTCCAGTCGGTCTACAACATTAGGCAGATAAACTTGAAAAAAAGAATCCATGCAGCACATTCTCTATGATAACACACATGCAGAAACTTCACTCTTAACTTTAAGTAGCATGCATTCAACATGCAGCACATTCTCTATAACACACATGCAGAAACGTCACTGTTAACATTAAAATTTTATTACTGCATGCCTACCCTGGACTTGGGCCAGTTTATTCAGTATTATCATTAGTTTGCCTTTAAGATGCTGCAGTCAGAATAAGCTTGGTTTCAGAACCATCTCGGCTACGGTATCAAATCAGTCTGATTTCAAGTTTGTTCCAGAACATTCAGTCAATTAATGCATTTGTTTATTTAATCTGTACCTCCTGGACAGTGTTCACATGTGTCCTTGAAGCAAGCTTTATTAGAGTATTATTACATCGCTTTATTTGTTGTAATTCTCTTTCTCTATCACTTTGAGACAATCGTCTTTTCATTCAAACCTTTGCAGGGTCTTTTGAAACTGAAAACAACGCACCACCGCTAGTTGCTTTGGTGTTCTGTTCTTTTGTTCTTCCATACTCTGGTCTTCCGTACTCGGTTCTTTCTTCTTCGGTACTGTCTCTCCTTCTTTTCCTTGGAGAGACACCTCATCGAAATGGAGTGGGGCTGTTTGGTACCCATTTTACCTTTAGAATAATTTAAAAGTTAAAATGCTACATTCTCTGAAGTATGCAAAGAGGGTCCAGTATGTCAGTGCACTCTTGACTTGGCTTTCCCACTAAAGACCGACTACTGGTAAATATAGTTATAAAAATAAAGATAACAATAACATTTTACTATAGTTTTTTTGTGTGTAAATTTTCAGTTTCTTTTTTTTTTTGTTTAAAAAATATTTTACCACTCTGGTTGCAGTGCAGCTCAGAAAATGTAATCATCATAATGTAATCAACTGAGTATGTATCTGCACCTTATGTTAACCTCAAAGTTTCAGTTAGCTATTTTATGTTAGCTCTGGTTGTATGAATATCCACCTCAGTTAGTGTTGCAGTTTATCACGATGTTGAAGGACAAATATATTATCAACCCTTTAGGCAGACAATTTGCAACAAGCCGAAGCTGCAAAGGTTTGCTACTGAAGGGAAGGGATTCGCCTGAGTTCACAACTGAGTATTTTAAAAATACCAAGTAGAGATGGTCGCACCACAATTATGTTCAGCCAAGGGACCAAACAGTAAAAGAAATGACTGACAAACTTATCACCTAGGGGTGTGGATCAAGGGAGAAAATGATTGTGAATGGTTGAGGGAATGATGATGCTTAAGTGACAAGATGTTGTTAAACGATAAGAAAATGTGTAAAAATTGGTGTGAAACAGTACTGGACATGCAAGTGTCTGGCCTTGGTTGTAGCCTCATTGTTGCAATAAAGACTGAATTTGCATCTTCACAAGCGGCTTCTGATTTCTGATTTGGCGGAGAAGGAAAACCCACAACAAAATCACTTTATTTGTCACATCGCTCGACAGTTGGTGAAGTACAGGTGAGTGAAAAAATTGGTCTTGTGTGATCACATAATTAACGGATCACTGGACCAGAGGTTGGTGGTGTAAAGCTTATGTAATGATGTTTGAAATATTGCACAAATGTGTATATTTTCTACACAGTGAATTTTCATTCATAATATGAATGTGAATCTAAGCAATCGAATCTGGGCCGCTTTTAGCTGTAGTTTTGTTCGGCTTTAATGGACATGCAGCTCCGCCCACAAGGATATCCAGCACAGATTTGCTGAGGCAAAAACTCGGGTTTGGGAGGAGTTTGGTGAGGCCATGGAAAACGACTTCCAGGCGGCTTCGAGGCAATTCTGGTCCACCATCCGACGGCTCTGGGTGGGAAAGCGGTGCAACATCAACACTGTTTATGG